TATATATATATATATATATATATATATATATATATATATATATATATATATATATGACAATTGGGTACTTGTTGATAGTATAAAAATTATTTCTAATAGCATTAAAAGAGCATTAAAAAACATTACAGTTTCTCATTCTTGTATAAACCCTGTATTAGCATAACAATGAATATTCATTAAGTATAAAGAAACTATGCATTGAGAATCTTTCAGAATTTTTCCACTAGGGTCCAGTAAAAGTTAATTTTAATTCTAAGCCCACAATAATTGCCTTTTATTTAGCTTGTAACATTCATGCCATTTGCCTTCTCCTCTCTCTGTTCATTTACCTGCCTTACAATGTTTTCAGTCCTTTTTTTTTTTTTTCTCCATGCCCAAGATGGTGCAGTTTGTTGGGTAAATATTTGCGGGAATGCGGCTTGTTGAGAGGCCTAAGCTCAGGGGATCTCCAGAAGAGAGGCTGCAGTTGTTGTGGATTAGCTGATTGTTTTTTCATAACACCATCGCCAGCATGCAGAAGTTCTGGTTCTCAGCAGACTGCAACGGCAGAAATATTGATTCTTCTAAAAAATGCAGAAGTAATGCAGCTTATCACTTCTGAGATTTAGTTTTCCAACAAGGGGCTGGAATAGCTCAATCGTATTCAGGATTCTTCTACTAAATTGAATTGTTTTTGTCTATAGCCTGGAATAAGGAAAACTGGAAGGGAGGAAAATGAAATAAAGCCCCTTTAGCTAAAATGATGAGTGAATATTTGGGATAATCGCTAATCTGGTATGTTTTTAATGTTGTTTACTTGCCAAACATTTTCAACTCAGGACCCGTACAACATATATGTGTCTCCATCATGTTCAACAGAAAAAAACAAATGCATCCATCTAAAAACCTGACTAACATTTTTGTTTGTTTCTTTCTCTCCTTTTGCTGTTTTTCGGGGATAATATCCAAAGAACTTGGAGAGATTCAAGGAGAGTAAAGATCAATTCCACCAAGCTGCCTCCGTGACAGAAGCAAGCATCAAGTAAGATGTGCACACAAATCACCCAGAATGACCTTGCTTTTCCAAACTCGTCATCCCAACAGGAGAAAGTCTGACAAATATGTCAGTCCATGCCAACGCAGACGCAGAGACATTCTCTACCTATATTCACTTTAACAACCACAAACTCAATTTGTTGCTACAAAACTAGGAGATATAATACCCTGCAGCCTTTGGAAACACTCTGCCTACCTCTGCATACAGATTCGCATTAACCTAGCCAACTAATGAACAGCATGAGAGCTGTTTTATTTTTATTTTTTTACATGCTTAAAGGTTTATAGTCTCTGGAGCAAATTGACTGATGTGCTAAATATTTAATTGGTTGTTTTAATTAAGCAGAATTTTACAATAGTTTCACTGTCCTCACTTCTCAGTCTGGAAGTGTGATAAACCACAACTGGAAAAATATACTTAATTAATACCACTGCAGAGTGGCAATAATTAAGTACACATACATTTAATTAACTTTAGAGAGAATTCTTGGACTATCATTTAAGTGAAAATGACAAAAATCTAAAACACTGAAGTCCTCAGAAAAGATAGAAGGAAGTGTTCTTATCCCCAAGGCCAGGCTGAGGGTGGTGGGTTAATTTTAACTCTATGTTAATGAGTTTCTCCTCATATTGCTTAGCAGAGACACTTTTTGATTTGTTGTGTTCTGTAAATTTTGAACATGTGACATTAAATGCTCTTTGTTAAGTCGTTTGCTTCTTTCTGAACAAAGACAATAGGAAAAATAGAAGATTTACTGACATATATTTGTTTAGATGCATTGGAGTGTAATAACAAGAAGAGAGAAATATTTTTTATATTTTTTTTTAAGGAAATGATTTTCATTCAATCTAATAATAATAGTATAGCTCATTATGTAAATTCTAAACTAAAAAAGTTAAATAACAAAACCGCATTAACATCAGTGAATAGGAAGCTTCTAGGTGTTTAGCTGTTGGAGAGAAATAGCAGTTGTGCTGCTGCCATCAACACCTTATTTTTAAAGATGTTCGAGATTGGCCTGTTTTTCCAGTGTAGTCCTGTTTCTCTGACTGTGACTGAGTGGATGTGCTCTCTCCATTTACTTTACTTACTTACTTTTACTTTCGCAAAACCTCAGAAGGGCAAGCTTTATGTACAAAAATTAAACCTGTACATGAAATTATGTTTTTATAGAGTGTTTTTATCATGTTTTTTGTTGTTGGCATTCATATAAGTGTACTTATGTGATAACTTAGTATATGTTTGATTGGTTTATGGTATACGTCTGTTTTGTTACTTTCTTGCTTAAAAACATTTAAAATCTGCTTATTTCTTTCTCATCGCAGCAAATAAAGCCACTCTCTTGATTTCATCTGCCTTTGTACATATATATAGGGACCATGTGTCAACCCTTTGTTTGGTGTGTGTGCATATCGTGTGTGATGTGCTGCTCTTGTGGTATAGCTGGAGAGAACTTACCGTATGACCAAAACTGTTCTATCAATAATGTCTTTTCAGTCATGGTGTTGGATCTCTTAAGTGTTTAAAATTACCTTTAATAATCCCCTTGCTGTGTAAAGCAGCCTTGAGGTGTAGATACCTGGGGTGACTGGAGAATGACTGATTGGTGGCCAGTGACACTGTTAACTTTCACATCATGGAGAATGGGCTTTGAATGAATAATGTGTAATAATTTTGAATTCTCCAGTTAACCTGTAGCATGAGAAACAATTCAGAGACAGCATATATTCCATAAATATGATGCTCTGCAATAATATTTATGCACATTTTCCAAATTCCATAACGTAATTCTTTCTCTATTACTCATTTTACTTTTTTTATTAATTCAACTAATTAATGTTTTTATTGATATTATATTGACATTTAAAACTTTGTATGAAGTAATGAGAGCGTCAGATACTCACTTTTACATGTTTTAAAAGCTGATGTAAAAGCACCTCCTTTCCCATTGCAACTTTTGAAACGTGACAGTGAATTTGACAGAATTTGATTTGGGTATATCATCTTAAAGGGGAACGCCGTTTTTTTTTTTTTTTTTAATTGGGCCCTTGATTCTACGTTATTACATCATGTTCTACTCACCTATATGAGTTTTGTGTCATTTGGAGCTGTTCTAAAGATATTCTGTTAGGTTATATCCTATGGGCAACGAGTTGAAGGCACAAACTAAACTGTTCATAATTTATCATTTATGGTATGCCAGCATTCATAACATGTAGGCGAATCACTGTCCCCCAGACAGCCACGCTTATATTTTTATATTTATATATTTTTTTAAACAAAGCGGAGTGTGTATGACGTCATCCACGCACCGGCTACGTTCATTCATCCTGTCCGCTGAACAACTGCTAGTTTTACTCACATGCCTGGAAGATGTCTAGTGCTACTACCACAGATGATCTCGCTCTTAAAATGGAATTGAACGATTCAGATTAGCTAGCCGAATGAATAGAAGGAGTAGAGCGTAGCCGCCTGTGGCCCGGGCTGCCTATCACAACTCCAGGCCGGCGTGCGGATGATGTCATACACACTCCGCTTTGTTTTTAAGAAATATAAATATAAAAAATATAACCGTGGATGTCTGGGGGACAGTGATTCGCCTACGTTATGAATGCTGGCGTACCATAAAGAATAAATTATGAACAGTTTAGTTTGTGCCTTCAAGTCATTGCCCATAGGAAGACGTTACTTGGATGTAACCTAACGGAATATCTTCAGAACGGATCCAAATGAAACAAAACTAATATGGGTGAGTAGATCATGATGTAATAACGTAAAATCAAGGGCCCAATGTAAAAAAAAAACAGTGTTCCCCTTTAAGTACCTTAAAATAAAACCTTAGACTTATAAGTAATACAATGCTCAATAAAAAATGCTATTAATCAAACATTCTAATTGTTGGAGTAAGAGATATTATGATGCATTCCATTTATACTTGGAAGTTTGACTTGGACTTGGACAACATTTATTATCATTTTGTATACACAGCATGTGTTTCGTTTTGTACAGCTCACATGACATTTCCATTTTCTTAAACTAACTACTTTCTTAAAGACTACCACGAAAAACAAGGTTTTTGTCATTGTGATGGTTGTAACATCAGCCTCATTTGTCTTATGATGGCCTCGGCAGATGGCTGCTCTCACTGAGCCTGGTTCTGCTGGAGGTTTCTTCCTGTTAAAAGGAAGGTTTTCCTCTCCACTGTCGCTACAAACATCTTTGGTATGAGGGATTTTATCTAAGAAAAATCAACTGGTTTTCCTTAGATAGAAAACTTTGAATCTATTTGACTTTATGATCTGATTGAATTAGTTCTGTAAAGTGCATTGAGATGACATGTTATGTGAATTGGGTCTACAGTAGTAGCAATTAATAAATCCCCCACTTTCCTTGATGGGCCCTTGGCTGGTTCTTGGCTGGTCCCCTACAATTTCTTTTTAATCATCAATCTTTGTACTAAAATATTGTTTCTGTCATGATTTGTGGACATTTAGATCTAAAGAGCAGCAGCATCTCCTGGTCAGACACTGTAATTCAGCGAAACAGTGGAGTCGGAGTTAAAAAAATGCACGCCCAGGATGGGGGGCTTTTGGGGTATTTTGCTGGGAGTCGCAGGGAAGAGGGCTGGAGAAGGGCCATTTTGAATGGCTGATACTGTAAACTGATTTGAATTAAATTATACAAAAAATAAAACAGATTTGAACCTGGAAGGCTAATTGCTCTCAGAGTAGATGACTCTGTTTTCCCAGTTCTAGGTTCTGAGGGTAATTTAATGTTCCATTATATCTGAACGCAAAACTTAACGCAGACATGTACCTAGCTTTACCATTTTTTGCCAATGGGATCATCTAACTAGAATAGAAACCCTTCAAGAACTACACTAAGACAGCTTTTGGGCAAATGTTGCGGAATTAGACAAGTTCAGTGGGAAATATAGTTTACATATAGTTTATCTAAAACTATAGTTTATCTAAAACATAAAAGGTGGATTTTAGTTCCTGTTCAAAATTAAAATAATAAAAAATGTTGGATTCTATAGAACTAAAAGAACATCAATATAAAAATATATACGAACATATTAATTAGGGATGGAACGGTTTATGAAAACCGTCCGAACCGTTCGACAGTCTTGGTTCGGTTCGCGTGTGTTTCGTTCGGTTCATGCGCTGCTCCTTTTTCTCATAGGGGAAGCATTTACACTCCAGAGCAGAAGGTGGCGGTACTGCGACTAAAGCCAACCACCAGTAGTAAACAAGAAGAAGAAGAAGCGAAGCAGTGTAGCCGGGTGTAGCAGGGGAAAAAATCAGTTGTTGTGGAGAATTGTGTGGGTATGGCGAGTGGGAAAGAACAGGAGTTGGAACACGCGTCAGCAGCACTTTATAGGTCTGCTGTATGGGACCGCTTTGCATTTAGAGTGACCTACGATGATGGCGGAAAGAAAGTTGAAGATAAAAACAGTGTGCAAGCATTGTGCAACACATTTTGTTTATGCTAACAGCAACACGACCAAAATGTCATGCTAACCCCGAAATCCCTCATACTCCGTCAGCGCTCCGCCCTGCTGCGCTCCAGACCGGCTGCACAACGCAAAGCCTACAGCCTCCGCTGTGGCTCCCGTCCGCTCCGCTCTGAGTTCCTTGGAGATCGTAGAGAGCATGCGCGAGATGATTAAATTCAAAGCAGCAAAACATACGGAAATGATCCAGGGTTTCCGTGGATCATTAACAATAATTACAATCCATTATTTTTTTGGGATTTTTTCATTAATTTCATTAATTTTTATGAGATTTCAGTGTAACAATCAACATATACCGAATCGAACTGGAAACCGTGACCACGAAACCGTGAATCGAACCGAATTTTGTGAACCGTTCCACCCCTAATATTAATCATACTTGAACAAGATGCCCAGGACCATTCAAGCAAGCATACAATATTTAAATGGGACAAGATCCACAGATATATTTCTGAAGCATCTTATGAAT